GTTTGGAAAAGATCATTAAATGTAAGAATAATTTGTTATATAATTTTTTTAAATAAATATGGCCAGAAACTGACCCCTGGCTTTAAGGTTTGAATTTTGGCCACCTTGTGTTACAGAATTTGACCCCTGATCATTTTTTTAAAAGTAAAAACTTGGTCAAACATGTGATACCAAGTTTATTCAACTGGTTTTAATGTTTTCGTTCTGAAATTTTCTGCCACCTTCTTCTGTTTATGACCTGAACTCACTTGTTCAGAAACAGGTGCATCGTACTGCCAGCGCTCATTTCAAAATTTACTTTTCACACTGTGTGCCTTAAGTCGCCTTGTGCTCTTCAGGCGTGTCATGTGTCAAGCTTGCAGAATGGGTGGATAATTCACAAGAAGTGATGCGTCAAATATTAAACCAGCTTCTCTGCTGGATGACAGCAGTCAGGCTGAACGGGCGGATTCTGTTGGCTTTGTGTGTCACTTGAAGAAGAACAGCATGTGAACGAGGATTGCCATCATAATGTGCAGGGGAGTGAAAGAACATACGGCTGAGCTTAAAACTGTTTGCACTGCAGTGTTTTCTTTAATAGGGATTAAATAAACTCAAATTGTTAATCGGTATTCCTTGAGGCCAGGGCTGGGCCGTTTTTGCACGSACTGTTGGCTGGATTTAGAAGAAGGTGTGCCGTGGACGCTGTTTTTRTTAGAACCACTTCAAACAGTGGTGAGGGATCACCCTGTTTGATTAGCTGCATGAGCCTGCTTGGAAAGAGGGCCGCTCATGTTTGGTGCAACGAGGTTAAGGTTGTGTGAATCAGAACTGTTGTTGAAGGAAAGCATGTCTCCTGCAGCCTACTGTAAGTGGAGTTGCTGTTGTTTTGGGTAAATCTCCTGAGATATTGTGGGATATCCTGTGAACACTAACCCAAATCTTTCTGAGACTAATTTATCACCATAGATAACAACTTATGTTTGAAATAATCTTTAAACACAAATGCCAATTGATTAAAGCTACTGTTAAAAATGGAAATGGAAGAAGCGTGTACAGAAAATGGATGGATGGATGGATACTGTTAATATTTGGGAGTCGTCATTGACGAAAAACTGACATGGAGACCTCTTATAAATTACTTAAGAACAAAAATGACTAAATCTATTGCAGTACTGAATAAAGTGAAGGAGATATTTAATGATAAAGCACTATGTACACTATATAATGCAATAATTGTTCCACATWTGATTTATTGTATAGAAGAGAAATGCATGAAAAACCTTTACAAAAAAGAGCCATAAGAATTATCACAAGAAAGCATTACTGTCACCCTTCTAATATATTGTTTCATCAATTAAAGTTATTAAAATTTCACGAGTTGGYTGATTATAACATTCTGCAAGTTATGCATGTATAAGGCTCATCAAAATGTGTTGCCGTCAAACATTCAATCACATTTTATTAAGAGGGAAAGCTGCTATAATTTGAAGGGATTACACATGTTTGTTGAGCCGGAAATCAGAACAAACTTGAAGGACAGATGCACTTCTGTTAAAGGTATAAGACTATGGAATGATCTGGAGGATGACTGTAAAAACATTGGATCAGTGAAATTCTTTAAGAATACAATCAAAGAAAAAATGTTAAAGAAATATGAAATTGTTTAATTTG